ATGCCTGTGTGTGTGTGTCTGCATATAGGGTGGGAGGGGTGGGAAGGCAGAAGACTGGGGAGAGACCCTTCCTCCTCCTGGACAAAGGTGCTACACTGAGAGCGGAGTTGATACGCTGTGTCCCCAGCTGGCTGGTGTGCAGAAGACCCTGCCCCGTGTACTGTTGTGGGGCTGGCAGGTGTGATTTCCCACCCGTGCCAGAGTTATGGGACGACGTGGAACAGCTTCTTTGGCTCAGAGCCCCCACTGGCACATGTAGCAGTGCCACACGTTGGAACTGGAAGATGATTTCTAATTTTCCAAACCAATTTTGCTGACCTGATTTTCTTTTTTTTTTTTTATCAACTCTTGTGCCAAGAAAGGGGATTGAGGAATGAAAGTAGCTTAATGGAACACGCTATGTGGCTGCAGGCTGGCGTCTCCATGGAGACGGGATGCAGGCTGCATGCAACCCACAGGCTGGGATGCAGTGAGACGCTATGTCTCTGACGGGGCCCTGCGCATGGATGGCCCTCCTGGACCTTTGTGGAAATGCTGGTTCCTGGGTGCTGTGCAGACAGGGGGCCAGGATCTTGGGGTGCAGGGCCCAGGACTCTACGTCTGATCTAGCTCCTTAGATGGCCATGAGGCTCAGTGAGCCGTAGGCCTGTTGTGTCCTGCCGTGAAGTCAGCCCCACAGTGGGATGATGGGGCTTTTAGCCCCTTCATGCACTGCTCAGAGGAGTGATTGAGGAGGATCCTTCTGGTGGCCAGCAGGGATGACAGATCGAAAAGGGGAGGCAGAAGAGACCAGGGAGGAGACAGCCCCCTCAGAGGTGCTTTACGGCCCCATCAACACAAACCACCAGCAAATCTTGTAACCAGCAGGACCCGCGGCCCTCGGAAGCCCAATGATGGAGGGCACAGCCTTGCCCGGGGAGCTGTCAGTAGTTCAGGGGGGACAGGGCACAGCGATGGAGGCCCAGTGTGACACCTGATGGCCTTTGTGCTGAGAAAGCACCCGACCCAAATCCAGCTCCGTGATGCTCAGTTGTAGGGGTAACAGCATTGGCAGCATGAAGCACTAGCCCGTCACTTTCGCATTTGCATGGTAATCGTCACGGTTGTCCCTTGTGACAGTTTGCGAAGACTCCTGCAGGGAAGCCCTGTTGCTAATGGTGGAGCTGAGGCCTCTCTCGGTTAGGGGGCTCCTGGCAGGTATGTGAGAATGTTCTGTGTGACCACAGAAGGCGGGATGGGCCACACACGGGCAAGAAGAGAAGCAGCGGAAGAAGCGAGGGTTCCCGCAGGGTGCGCAAAGCCGGGCTAGAGACGGTGGCAGGGTGGTGATGGGTGACTTTCCTCTTGGGCTTCCAATTCTGTCTTTATAACCATGGGGCAATGAGTTTTTAATTTAATTTTATTGTTCTGTTCATCGTCGCCTGAGGGTTTTTTCCTTTGATGTTTTTAGAGAGAATGGAAGGGGGGAGGGGGGAGAGAGAGAGACAGAGAGGAACATGGATGTGAGAGAGACACATTGATTGGCTGCCTCCCGCACATGCCCCCAAACCCGCCGTTTCCTTTGTGAAGCCCTCCCGTTCGGGATCCATGGGGCCAGCAAACAGCTCTGCCTGCGGGGAGCGGCGGGAAGGCCCGCTTCCTCCTGCCTGCGCACCCTGCTCTGGGCGGGAAGACAGGTGGGGACCCCAAGGTCGATTTTATTTTTCTTCTGAACCAAAAAACCCTTTCTCTCCACGAGAGAAATTCTAGGCCTACTGACTCAAAGGGCCACCAGCTTTTAAAAATAACACGAAGAAAAAATACTGGTTTTATGTCCTGGGGGCTAGTTCCCCTGCCACTTTGTACAGAGCTGGGAGGGGCTGTGCCAGCGGAGGTGCCTCTGAAATCAGCCAGCTCCTCCTCTCTGGCCAGTCCTCATGGTCCCCCAGTTTGTAGTTCATGATTAAGGGCTGGGCCTTCACTCTGGGCAATTTGGAGACCACGAGATGCTTTTGAGCAGAGAAGGGATGGATGTGCCTTGACTTAGACTTTGAAAGGGCCTCTGGTTGCAGTTGTGTGAACCCGCCGCGGGGATCGAGGAGACCGCTAGTTGGAATGCTGTCTGAATACTGCAGGTGAGGAGTGATGATGGCTTGGGCCAGGGTGGAGGTGACCAAGGTGCCAAGAAGTGGTCGGATTACGGATGTATCTGAAGGCAGAAACGACGGCTCCTGCTGGGAGTCTGAACGTAGATCATGAGGAAAATAGAGTAAAAAATGACGTCAAGATTTTGGTCTGAGGGACTGCAAAGGTAGAAGTGACATTTCCTGAGAAGAGAAAGTGCAGGGGGAGCAGGTCTGGGCGGGAGGGCAGCAGGTGTCGGGTTGGGAGTGCGTCTGGATGTCCACATGGAGGTGAAATAAGCAGTTGATACCTGAGGTTGGAATTTGGTGCTGGCGTCGGGGGTGGGGGTGGTGATGGAATGAGCATCTGCCCTCCTTCCCAGACAGTTAACAGGGAAAGTAAGTGGGGTGAGATCACACGTTAGATAAAGAAGGAGCTTCAGAAAGTATCCTGCAGAAGGGGGAAACCGAGGCCCAAAGAGGGTCACACTGTAAGTTAGTGATGAGCTGAGACAGCACCAGTTCTCTGGGCCCCCTCAGCCCTGCCTGCCCCGGGCCTTGCAGGCTGCGGCGTGGACTGAGGCAGGAAGCCGAGGCTGGGTGACTCCCAGTTCTGTTCCCCTGCAGGTCACCATCCTCGTCAGCCTGGCCCTCGCGTTCCTCGCCTGCATCGTGTTCCTGGTGGTCTACAAAGCCTTCACCTACGACCACAGCTGCCCAGAGGGCTTTGTCTACAAGGTAAGGGACCGTCGGCTTCCACGGGAGGATTTACCAGTGTCTTCCTTTCACCGGCGCCCAGATTCTGGGTGTGGCCCCCTCCCTGCAGACTATTGAAAGTGTAGCGTGTGTCTGGCCAGGGGGTTTCAATTTTGCGGGAAGGACTCGGTCTCCAGGAGACAGCGGAGCCCCTCCCTGAGGCAGCACTCGCTCTGCAGAGGTGGTCAAGCTCCCGATGGAGGAGAGCCACTCTCCTTCTGGAGACACCGCTCCGGCCTTGGAAAGCTCCCCCTTGGCAAGGAGCATCCCAGTTTGATGGCTAACCCGTTGTCCCCAAGGGGCCCCGCGGAGATGGAAGACAGGGAGCCTCTGAGGGTGTCTCCCCAGTCCGACTGCGCTCCTTCCCTTGAAGAACTGAGTCAGCTGCATGACCCCTGGGCATCTCCTCGCCCCTCTGAGCCTCCATTTTCTTACCTGCAAAATGGGCACAGATAATGCCACCCACAGGCTTTTGTGAGGCCTGGAGAGAACTTGAGTAAAATCAGTTAGCAGAGGGCCTTCTAGGTGATGGGCTCTCAACAAACAGCTGCAATAGGGACAATGTCTGATTTGGATCTAAAGCAGGCCGTTCACCTTTATAAATTACCCTTTTAGCTGAGAGCCTGTTAGACATTTTCATACCTGTTCCCTCAACGGAGCTGCACGCCCCCCACCCCTGTTCTGAAACATAGGGGTCTGGCCCCCATTTTGCATCTGAGGAAACGGAGACGAGCATTTGGCGAGCGGCGTTTCCCGGGCCGTCGCCTAACATTCCAGAGCGGGGGAGTCGGGTGCGGACTGTCCCCCTTGGAAGCCCGGCCCCCGGGAAACACACGCATGTGACGTCCAAAGACACGGAGCTGAGGCTCTTAGTATGAAGCTGAGGTTCTGGAAGATTGGTGATAGCTGTCATAGGGGGCAGTGAGATGTAGCCACACGGTGGACTCCGTGCAGCGGTGAAAATAAGGCGGGAGGTGTCCAGACACGGATGTGGAACCCCCTCCACGAGGAAAATGAAGACGAGGTGCTGCGGGGCGGGTGGGGGGACAGGCTGGCTTCTATTTGCAGAAGGAAGGGCTGTAAGAATGAGCTGCAAGAGGGAGGAAAAGGGACATGAAGGGAGTGCCTTGGTGGGGTGGCTGGGAGGGAGCGGCGT